CGCGCGTGGAGCCCGGAGGCAGAGGGGGCGGGGGGGGGCGCCCAGGCGCTGCCCTTGTCCCGGAGCGGCGTGGGCGGGGAGGGAGTCCCGGCTGACCGCTTGTCTTGTCCCTCGCAGCCTCTCCGGCCACCGTCTGGCTCTGCCAGGCTCCCCCCTTCTGAAGGCGTCGCAGCCGGATGGCAGCCAGAAGGTCTACCGTCTCCGAGCCAGCCGAGAAGAGAGCGCTGCCCGCCTGCTGATTGCTGCTGCCGGGCCGGAGCGGCTGACCTGCGCCAGACCTTTCGGGGCCTCGCTGAGGATCGAGGAAAGCCACGGGGACCCCGGCGCCCCCCGGGCCCTCTTCCCCGTAGGAGAGAGGCCGCCGCCCCGGGTCCCCGAAGGACTCAAGCAGCGCTTCTTCCCCTTTGGGGCTCGGCCGAAGGGCCCTCTCACGGCTTCGGGAGCGGCAGGGAAGGCTGCCCGGAAGAGGGGCAAGAAACGGCCGCTGCTGCCTTTGAAGCAGGCGCCCTGGCAGCCGGAGGGCCCCGAGCAGCTTCTGGGGGGTTCCCCGGAGCCTGCCGGGGCTCTGCTGGGAGGGCGGGTGGAGGCTGGGAGCAGGCAGCGGCCGCTGAAGGAAGAGCAAGAGGAGGCGGCAGGGGAGGCAGCCATCCTCCCGGCGCTTGGGGGGCGGCTGCTATGGCAAGATGCCCGGCCAAGTGGCCCCTTAGAGGCGGCTTCCGAGGTGGAGGAGCTGGACAGGAGAAGAGCCGGGAAGCGAGAGAAGCAGGAGACCCGCCTGGAGACGGAGGAGCTGCCAGATCCCACTTTCAGGTACTGGCAGCCTGAACAGGGGCCCTGGCTGCAGGGAGGGGGGGAGCTGGAGGGAGGCGGAGGTGACTGCGCAGGAGAGCCGGCCAAGAGGAGGAGGAGGAAGAAGAAGGAGAGGAGCAGAGAGAGGCTGGCGGAGGGGGCCCCTGCTGCCATCAAGGAGGAGCCGCTGGACGTCCCCTGTCTGGGGGGCCTCCCAGAAGAGAATCTGAGGGCTATTGGAGAGGACCCTGTTGGGGAAGCCCCCAGCTGCAAGAAGAGGAAGAAGAGGAGCCGAGAGAGGCTGCCGGAGGGGGGCGCTGCTGCCATCAAGGAGGAGCCGCTGGACGTCCCCTGCCTGGGGAGCCTCCCAGAAGAGGGTCTGGGGTCACCCAGAGAGGAAACTGGTAGGGAGTTTGCTGGCTACATAAAGCAGAGCCCCGGGAAGGAGGCAGGGGGGCTGTGGGGCGTTGCGGCTCTTAAAGAGGAGCTGGGGGACGTCCCCTCTCTGGGGAGCCTGGGGGTCACCCCGGAGGACCCCACAGAGGAACCCCCCAGCTACAAAAAGAAGAAGAAAAAGAAGAGCAGAGAGAGGGGGGCGGAGGGGCTGTGCAGCATCACCACCGTCAAGGAGGAGCCGGGGGACACCAGCTGTTTGGAGAGTCTCCTGGGTCTGGGGTCAGCCAGAGGGGGCCCAGCTGGGGATCTCCTGGCCTGCAAGAAGAAGAAGAAGAAGGGGGGCAAGCTGGACAAGGAGCCACTGCAGGAACAGGAGGCTGCCCCTCTGTGGCAAGAGCCAGGGCTGGAAGAGCCATTGCAGACGAACTGGGCAAGTCCCAGCCCCCAAAAGAAGAGGAGGGAGGGCAGGAGGAGGGAGGGGGAGGACCAGGCTGGACTCTCTGCAGCAGGAACTTAAGGGGTGGCTCTCCCCGCCCCCCCCAGTGTTGCTGATCAGTTGCCATATTTTTATTCACACTCTGCCTGTCCCTCCGAATAAATCCAGGAGCTTTGCATGCCAGCGTTTCTCCGAAGGCCATTTCTCCTGTTAAAAACGAGCGTCTCCCTTGCTTTTTTCCCTTCCGGATGTTTTATTGCCTGTTTTGTTAAACAATGTTCACATAGCAAAATAAGGCTGTGTGTCCCCCCTGCCCCCCCGGAAGTTGTGTTGCTCTCTTGGATACGGGTAGTTTCAGAGAAGGTTGTGCATCGTCCTGGGCCCGTCGCCTCCAGCTCTTCAGCCCCCTCCTCACTTGGGCACCTTCAGAAACGGTTCGTGAAGGACGTCAAAGAGCCTCTTGGCCTGGGAAGGGAGGAAAGGAGCGAGTGGGGAAGTTTCTTTGGTCCAGGGCCTTTGGGAAGTCCAAACTTTAAAAGCCTCGTTTCCCCCTTTACGAAATTCCAGGTCTTCCCCACTGAAAGCTGCCTCAGACGCAGCCCACTCTTCCTCCCCCAGATGCCTTGGGACTCCCAGGTGTAGGAAGCCCAGCAACATGGCGGCTGGGCTGCCCGTGTTTGGCTTCCCAAACCGAAACGGCTGCTTCTCCCCCTGTGCCAGCCGGTCTCCCTCCTTGGCAGGAGGCCCTGGCTCCACAGAGCAGCTGCAGTGAGGTTAAGGGCAGCAAGTGGGGGAGCCCCCCTGCACAGGCGCTGGCTCTCCTTCGCTTAGGGAGGGGAAGCCTCTGGCTGTGGGAGGGGGGAGGCCGGCCGATGGGTTCCAGGGCTTGGGGCAACAGCCTCCACTCACCTTTTGAGGCCCAACACCAGGGCACAGGGAGAGGTCTTCCTTGGACGCCTGGACGATGTTGGCCAAGGACTGCAAGGTAACAGCAGAGGGACTCAGTGGGATGATCGCAGGGCCTCTGCGGGCGTCAGGCCTGCCATGGGCTCAGAAGGAAGCGAATGCCCAGATGCCGGAGGGGAGTCAAGGGGAAGGAGGCTCAACAGCAAAGGATGAGAGGGAGTTCCGCAAGTCCCATTCCTCCCACTTTTCCTGCATTGGTTAGGGCTGATGGGAGGTGGAGTTCAACAACCCCGTGTGTGTGAGTGTGAGAGTGAGTGAGAGTTACAGACGGCCCCTTCTGGCGTGTACAATGCTGGGGAGTGCTGCGCTCAAAGCACCGAATCCTCCCTGCCCTCCCCCAGCACAGAGAAGCGGCTTGCTCACCCCAAACGTGGACAGCAGGCTCAGGGTGTCGGTTTTGTTCACAGACTTCACGCTGGTCAGGCAGTCGCTCACCTGGGGGAGAAGAGAGCAGCTGCAGCACCAGGCCACGTGCAGCTGCTGCGCAAGGCAACTGGCAGCTGGTGGCTGGTGGAGGGGATGCCTCTGCCTCCCCCCTTCCTCCCCAGGCAAAGGAAAGCAGCCGCACCCGCGAGAGATAGTCCTGCTCCACTTTCTCCTTCAGCAGGTCGGCCGGCTTCTGCTCGTAGGCCTTGTATGTCTCCAAGTAGCGTCCGGCTTCTTCTGGACTGAGGGTGGGACAGGATCAGAAAGCTCAAGAGAACTGAGATACTTCCTCTGCTCTGCTTATTCCTGCCTGTCTCAGAGAAAATCTAGCCATGGGCGTCCTGTGTGAGCATCTCGCCTTAAGGAGAATTTTAAGCAGAAACCTGCTTTCTGGCGCCTCCCCCTACAAGGGGGGGTCTTCCCTAGCCAGGCCTCTGCCACCGCCCAACACTGGGGTCTTACCTCCAAGCCAAGATGAGGGTGCAGTCAGCAAGGATGCAGATCTTGGCCAGCTCCTTGACTGCCTGGTGGGGGTCTTTCTGAAACAGCCGAGAGAGGAAATGCAGATAAGGCAGGGAAGGGCCCTGCGCTCCACCGTCTCCCCCTGCAACGGGCCCAGCCCTGCAGGCCTCCCGGCAGCTGCCAAGGTCTCAGCAGAAGCATTCTGGGCCTGATTTCGTTAGTGCGCCTGGGCTGAGAATGTGGGGCCAAGGAAATCCCTAGAATCACTGCCCCAGGCAGGAAGGGGGTAGATTGTGTGTGTGTGTGTGTGTGTGTGTGTGTGCATCTCACCACGTCAACCTGAAGCAGGAGCACCTGCAGCTGGAACGTCTTCCCCAAGTTACGCAGTCGCTCGTGGATGTAATTTGGATTCAGGTTGTGGTACCGGAGGCTACAAAGATAACGGCCAGAATGGAGTTTGTCTTTTTCCAAGGGGCAGCCGCCATCAAGATTCAGTTTTGCCAAACCTCAGTGATGTTGCAATAATGATTGATAAAAGGGGCCTGATTCTGACTTAGATTCTGCAATAGGCACCCCGAATCTTTATCTCCGCGTGGCTAAAATCGTCTGTTGCCTTTTAGGCTGTACATTTCACCAACTCTTATGGGGGGGAAGTTTAGAACCAAATGCTCCAAAGGAAAGAATAAAGCAGCATTTTGGACTAGAAAAATAATTCGCGGGAGGTTGGTTTCCCGTTTGGTGCGCTATGAATAAGCCCAATTCCTTTTAAAACTCTGAACAGACAAGTCCCCCCCCCCCCCATTTCTGGCAAAAGCGCTCCTGTCAACTGGCAAAGCTTGCATTCAAGACTGGTGTGACTAGTTTGCAGTTAATCCTAAAGACTCTCTCCCTGGCAGGGGATTGGAGCCCAAAGCTGCTTGTGGCGGAAGGGAACCTGGGCTTCCTCTCCTTACCTCAGGAAAACGGCACAGGTGCTCTGGCCCAACACATAATCCGGGACAACTTCGCCGAATTCCCAAGGCACGTTGCGGACAAACTTCAGAATGGGGTTCCCCCTCTGAGGGCAGAAGAGAGTCCTCGGTCACTGGGGAGGAAATCCCACCTGCCGGTGGTCATAGGAGGAGGCAGCAAGCAGCCCGAGGCTACGGAGCAAGAGGAGAAACTCCCAAAGCATCATCAGTGCCTGGAAACCCCTGAAGACTCCTGGAGGTGTTTTATCAGGGCAGAGAAAGGCCGGGCCTTCTGCTGGGGGAAGAGCGAGGGAGGGGTAGACAGAAAGGCCTCAGGGCGTTTGGGGACTCTGGGGAGATTAAGTCTACACATCTGAACGGCTCCCAGGGTGATCCAGCCTTGGCAACTCCCAGAACTCTGGGAGTTGAAGTCCAGAAGTCTTAAAAGTTGCCAAGGTTGGAGACCCCTGAGGTAAGTGCGTCTGCGCTGGATGTTAAGTCCTTCCTGGTCAGCTGCCCCCAAGCACCGACCACGCTTGCCTTCTGGCCTCGCAATAGCCAGGCTGTCAAAATGGGGGGCCGACCAGGAATGTTCCCTGCTGGCCTGCCTGCTTCGTCTCACCTGCCGCGGACTGACGATGATGGCGTTGTGCTTGGCCCCTGCTTTGGGGGCCGTGGGGTTCAAGGGGGAGCCTTTGTCTTCCGCTGTGCTTTGGGGGGGCACAGGCCTCTCGCCCTGGTTCTGCGGAGGGGCTTCTTCCGAGGCGCTGGAGGCCAATACAGCGGGAGCAGCAGGGGAGGCGGAAGAGGAGGCCACGGCTCGCCCAACCACGTAGTCTGCGTAGGAGGCTCCCCTGGGCCAAGCCGAGGCCACAGGGACCGTTGCCCCTCTGGCTGCTGAAGCGGCCTTGAAGAGAGGTTTCACCTGGCATAGAGAGGGAAAGGGGGGGGGGGGAGACTCCGTTTCAGATGCTGGAGGGAGGGAGACTCTCCGGTGGAAGGGAGGGGCTCCCACCCTTAAGGGCAGAGTGGAGGGACAGGGACCTGCAGAGAGTTCCACGGGCCACTCAGGGGGGCGGAGAGGGGGAGCGGGGGAGGGGCAGGAGCCGAGCGGGCACAAGGAGGAGTTTGCAGAAGGCTTCACTGACCCCGGAGGCTTCTCCCCCCCCAACACCCCCAATTCCCTTTGAAGCGGCGGCTCCTCCTCCGTTCCTGGGAAAAAGCTCCTGGGAAGCTTCCACTGGCAAAGCTGCCTTCGGGGCGGACGTAGCTGCATTTCCCACCCAATTGTGGAATCTGGGCCCGGAGAGCCCCTCCCTCAACGGCCTGTGGCGGAGGGGAAGCCGGGCGTCCCGAAGGCCCCGCGGGAGTCCCGGGTTGAAGGCCTTGAACTCCTTCCAGGGCTGCCCGAGCGGAGGGAGGGACAGGCGCCCACCTCCTCCTCCTCCTCCTGCGGCGCCTGCAGGGCGAACCTCCCGGCCTTCGGGGCCTCCATGGCGGGCCGGGGGCTCAGCGCGGCCTCCTCCTCCTCCTCCTCCCGGCGGGCGCTGCCAGGGACCGGCTCAGGGTCGGCGAGGCGGGCAGATTCCACGTGTTTCGCCTCTCATCTCGCCCGTCCCGCGGCCTCTGCACGGCCGGAGGACAGCCGCGCCGCCGGGGCCGGGCCTGGTTAGTTCGGGCAGGACGCGCGAGCTTCCCCGGAGGGATTTCCGCCTGTCGGGGCTTTTGCGCGGGCGACGTCGCCCCCGCGTCCAGCTGCGGGACCAATCAGGGGGCTTGCCTCTGGCGCATGCGCCCCGCCTCAGACCATTTTCTAGGTCCGGTCGCCGAGAGGCGGGCTCGGAGCGCCTGGTTTCCGCCGCGGCGCTCTGGCGACCCGAACTCTATGGTACCCCGCCGGCGGGACGCAAAGGGCCTGCGCCGTGGGAGGTAAGCCGCTCCGAGGCCGGAACTTCTTAGAAGACCCCCTCGGCCGGGGGTCTCGGGCGGAGCGGGAGCGTGGCGGGGCCGGGCGCTTCTTGGGGCACGGGGGCGTGTGTGGCCGGAGAGGAGTCCCCGGGAGCCCTTGGGAAAGGGGGCGGGGCGACGTCCAGCCAGCTAGCTCAGTGTTTCCCAACCTTGGGGACTTTAAGTCCTGTGGACTTCAACTCCCAGAATCCCCCAGCCAGCATAGCTGGCTGGGGGAATTCTGGGAGTTGAAGTCCACAGGACTTAAAGTCCCCAAGGTTGGGAAACACTGAGCTAGAGGGCCCCCGGGGGGGGGGGTTTCGAGCCTTGGGGGCCGCGGCTGGCTGGGGGCTCCTGGCGCCGCATCTCCTGCAAGGGGGCGG